TAATAGATACAGTGTGGTAATAGATACGGTATGGTAATAGATACGGTATGGTAATAAATACAGTATGGTAATAGATACAGTGTGGTAATATATACGGTATGGTAATAGATACGGTATGGTAATAGATACAGTGTGGTAATAGATACGGTATGGTAATAGATACGGTATGCCAAAAATGAATGACACTTCACCAGACAGTTGTTTTGTCCATTGAGGAACTAGTTACATGACGAAAATAATTTTTCAGTAGTGACATTGGTTTAAAGGGGATTTACGTAAACTATGTTTGGTTGTTTGTTTTTCTTTCTTTCTTGAACAGTAATGACTTGAAATGTGTCGGATATTAAATACATGAGATTGATACAAAACGTTATCATTTCCGATAAAATGATAACAAAAAAGAAAATGGCGATCAATTGTTGTGTTTGTCTATTCAACTATTTAAATTAATAGCAAACCGCCTAATTGATTAATGTAATTACAGGTATATTGATTGGCTGTATTTAAAGATGTGTGGGGGTTGAACCAATCAAACGTACCACAGTACAAATAACACAGAGCAGCTATAAAAAGCATAATTTCCCTAGGGGCCTAACCTCCTTCATGATGTATATATATATATAGAATCCCACCATAGCAAATGTACATTACATTGTACTTCCGCTGCTTTTATAGGGCAATATGACTCGGTTTTATATGTAGCCTTACATTACACATCATCATTACAACAAAGAGGCAGTGAAGGAAAATGAGCTCATTTATTAGTTATAACCCAAGCTGTGTTCCTTACAAAGTAGTCTCGTAAGCAATAGGTTACATTTTATTACCTTATTGTATTTTCTGTGTTGTCGGGAATTGCATACAGGATGAATACAAAATAGATGTAATCTTCTATTTGTTTTCCAATAAAGTCCAAATAGTAAAACGGATGCAAAAACTCGCCCTTATTCTAAATGAAAATACAGTTAAACCCCCATACATTTGCACAAGAATATATGGGTTTGGCGATTTATGGAGGGAAACGAATAAAGAAATTGTTAAGAAAAAAGGAAAAAGGAAACTTATAATATATTGACGTTAAACAAGGCGGCAAATCAAAGGAGGAACATTATATCGAGGTTTTACTATACTTATGGAGATGCTATTTCTGTTTCATATTTATTATAATCAATATGGTTTTTTTATATTAATTTGTCAAACAATAGATGAAAAATACCCATGCGACCTCAACAAAAGCATGTTGGGGATATCTTTTGAAAACAAATATCGATCGATCGCATAAATACATCCATATGAAGAATAAGTAAGAAGTGTATTATGTAATATATTACATACAACGCATAAAATAATCTTTTGTAAGTATATCATAAAGAAACGATCGGCGATCATTCGTCATCAAATAACAGTTTTTCCTAGCTGTTACAGTAGAATTGCATATAATATGTGATAAAGAATAGAAAGCAGTAAATCAACTTTTAAAAACATATTACCGAAGACAATGATGTCAACCGCCTCATTAGTCAAACGCCATGTCCTTAATATTTATAGTTAAGGTAACAGGTCCCACTGCACTAGTTATGATCGCAAAGAAGAGTTCCACTTTTTTCTTGCTTAAATTAGTGCCCTTGACAATGTATTCATCTTTCATTTTGTTACTGTGCATGAACGAATCTTGGCCAGCATCAGTGGTACAGTGATGTATAGGAATGGGAAAAGTCGCGCGTTCGAACCGTGGAGTTTCCATAAATATATATGTTTCTCTCTCTCTTGCTGAAATATTGGTCCTAAGTATATGGTACTTTATTGAGTTTGCATAAAACCCAATGTCACCACCTAAAACTTGTTTTTCATACACAGTATTTACAACAATCATGAAACAAGTTATTTCAACTTATATTAATCGCTCTTGTTGGCCCGGATGTAAGCGCGCGGGGTTTTATTGTGGAAGGAAAACCGGAGTATCCGGAGAAAACCTACGTGGTCGGGCAAGTGACCCCACACCTTTCACGTCAGATCGGGGAATCGATCCCCGGCCGCCTTGGTAAAAGGCAAGTGCGCTATCTACTGCACCACCCGACCACCCGTAGAGTATTGGGCTGACGTTGATGCCTGTGTTGACAAGTAATGAAACCCAATGGGTTCCGAAATAACAGATACGATCGGGAAAAACGAGCGTATTAGCAATACACGCAATTGTGTTTCTCATACGACTTGCATGTATGTATGCACAGGTAAGAACCAGATACGAAAGTTTTCTAGCGATATAAGTTACTACATCATGGATATGTTTTTATCTGTTTGTTCACAACAGGGAAAACAAATCAAAACATTTCAATTCTTGAAGTGTCGATTACGTCAAGACTCTGCACCTCAGGCATTACCTGTAGAGTTTCGGACATAACACCCAGGCAACACATGGAGAGTCTCTATCCGTACCCAAGTGTACACCTGAGTACGTATGCCCCTGGCGAGTCTCGATCTAACTGAGGCAAAGGTTGATACAAAAAGCTTGGCGTGTATACCATGCAATGCAAGCAAACGCTTAAATTTTATCGTACTTACAAAGATAAACATTAATTTATAGATAGCATACAAGTGTTTTGTCCATTTCATTAGAAGACTCGCAACTAAACATTTTGTAGCGTATCAGGCATAGCGGTTCATGTTCTCCTGCATGTTTATCCACAGGGACATTGCCAACAGTTTTGTAGCGTATCAGGCATAGCGGTTCATGTTCTCCTCACTGTCTATCCACAGGAACCTTGCCAATAGTTTTGTAGTGTATCAGGCATAGCGGTTCATGTTCTCCTCCAAGTTTATCCACAGGGACCTTGCCAATAGTTTTGTAGCGTATCAGCCGTAACAGTTCATGTTCTCCTGCATGTTTATCCACAGGGACATTGCCAACAGTTTTGTAGCGTATCAGGCATAGCGGTTCATGTGCTCCTCCATGTCTATCCACAGGGACATTGCCAACACTTTTGTAGCGTATCAGGCATAGCGGTTCATGTTCTTCTCCGTGTTTATCCACAGGAACCTTGCCAATAGTTTTGTAGCGAATCAGGCATAGCGGTTCATGTTCTCCTCCGTGTTTATCCAAAGGAACCTTGCCAATAGTTTTGTAGCGTATCAGGCATAGCGGTTCATGTTCTCCTCCAAGTTAATCCACAGGAACCTTGCCAATAGTTTTGTAGTGTATCAGGTATAGCGGTTCATGTTCTCCTCCAAGTTTATCCACAGGGACCTTGCCAATAGTTTTGTAGCGTATCAGCCATAACAGTTCATGTTCTCCTGCATGTTTATCCACAGGGACATTGCCAATAATTTTGTAGCGTATCATGCATAGCGGTTCATGTTCTCCTCTATGTCTATCCACAGGGACCTTGCTAATAGTTTTGTAGTGTATCAGGCATAGCGGTTCATGTTCTCCTCCAAGTTAATCCACAGGAACCTTGCCAATAGTTTTGTAGCGAATCAGGCATAGCGGTTCATGTTCTCCTCCGTGTTTATCCACAGGGACCTTGCCAATAGTTTTGTAGTGTATAAGGCATAGCGGTTCATGTTCTCCTCCAAGTTTATCCACAGGGACCTTGCCAATAGTTTTGTAGCGTATCAGGCATAGCGGTTTATGTTCTCCTCCATGTTTATCCACAGGAACCCTGCCAATAGTTTTGTAGCGTATCAGGCATAGCGGTTCATGTTCTCCTCCATGTCTATCCACAGGGACCTTGCCAATAGTTTTGTTGCGTATCAGGCATAGCGGTTCATGTTCTCCTCCATGTATATCCGCATGAACTTTGCTAATAGTTTTGTAGCGTATCAGGCATAGCGGGTTATGTTCTCCTCCATGTCTATCCACAGGGACCTTGCCAATAGTTTTGTAGCGTATCATGCATAGCGGTTCATGTTCTTATCCATGTTTATTCACAGGAACCTTGCCAATAGTTTTGTAGCGTATCATGCATAGCGGTTCATCTTCTCCTCCATGTTTATCCACAGGGACCTTGCCAATAGTTTTGTAGCGTATCATGCATAGCGGTTCATGTTCTT